ACTGATGGTTCTGGATCTGAAATGGCTCCAAGTGACTTTACCAGTGGATGGAGACTTTTGCTTGTTCTGCTTGTTTAAGGTCTGCAGACTTTAAAAGTCCAAACGAAGGTAGTTCTTGTTTTGCAAATGTTCCCAACAAAGTTCTGGTTCTTGTCTTCCTCCAGCACGGTGCCGACCCGACCCGGAAGAACCGGGACGGCAACACCCCTCTAGATCTGGTGAAGGATGCCGACACGGACATCCAGGACCTGCTGCGAGGCGACGCCGCCCTGCTGGACGCCGCCAAGAAAGGCTGCCTGGCCAGAGTGAAGAAACTCTGCACACGAGACAACGTCAACTGCAGAGACACACAGGGGAGACACTCCACACCACTACACCTGGCAGGTACATGCACACCTGAACAGGACAGGTACATACACACCTGAACAGGACAGGTACGTACACACCTGAACAGGACAGGTACGTACACACCTGAACAGGACAGGTACATACACACCTGAACAGGTTGCTCATTCATTTTATACTATTATTCTGCAATGTTTATGAAGTTAAGTATTAAAGAACAGTGCTGTATGAGGCAGAAGTAGGCGTGATGAAGACGTGCTCAGGATTATTCAGAAGCATCAAACACAGGAATCCAGTTTCACATGTCTCATGCTGAACCTGGTTCTGTTGCTCTGGACTGTGGTTCTCTGTGGAGGGATTCCTTACAGGAGCTCTGTTTGTAGGATGCATCGGTATACAGTACATCGTTTTCTTGACCTGTCAGTACAGACAGAAATCCTGACTTTGTTTTGTGTGTTTCAGCCGGTTACAACAACCTGGAGGTGGCCGAGTATCTGCTGCAGCACGGAGCCGAGGTCAACTCTCAGGACAAAGGAGGCCTGATTCCTCTGCACAACGCCGCCTCCTACGGGGTGAGTGGAGGACAGCAACTAAACCCTGAAGCCCAGAGTGAACCCTCTAACACAGGGGTGTCGAACTGCAGTCCTCGAGGACCACAATCCTGCATGTTTTAGATGTTTCCCTCTTCCAACACACCTGATTCAAATGATCAGGATCGTTTTCAGGTTTCTGCAGAGCTTGATGATGAGCTGATCATTTGAATCAGGTGTGTTGGAAGAGGGAAATGTGCTCTAACAGCTCTCTGACAACCAAAGGGTCATCACAAGGTCTTAACCTGGCCTTAACTGGCCAAAATGGATCAAGAAAGAGCTCAAAATACCCTCAAAAACTGTCTAAAACAACTCAGATTTTGTTTACAATGACTGGGAATTTGTCCCAAAAAAGTATTTACAGAGAATTCAGTCGCATTTATAGAGAATTCAACTGTGTTTACAACCAAACCAGCTGCATTCAGCTGAGTATTTACAGACTGCTCAGTCAGCCAATCTGTAAAACAGTCAATATAGTCAATAGCAGAGGAATAGTTATTAGCAGCAGCTCTTCTTATGGTAAAGTGTTTTCTTTTTTACAAAGTGAGGACCTTTTTTGAAGTCCTTTCCTCAGGACAGACGTTCCATCAGATGGAGTCCAGGTTTGGATCAGAGCTCAGCGAACGTTCAGGTGTTTCATTATACGGGTGCTGAAGGTCCTCACAGAGGTAGCAGCATGTCGGTGTGTTTGAGCCTCTCTAGGCCTCTTGTCGGATCAGTTGATTGAACCAGACGCTGAAGAGATGCAGCCATCATCGTGTTTTCACTCTCCACCGCTCTTCACGTCTCTCAGCTGCTTCTTTCTCCTCGTTCAGCTCCATCGTTCTCCACCAGCAGCATGTTGTTCTGCTGTTTAACCGGCGGAGGAGGAGAGAAAACCAACTGGAAGATGTGAGAACAGACGTTTTAGAAGCAGGTCACGAGCAAGTCAACGCTCAACTACATTTTTCTTTAAAAGCAATTAAACTCTTAGGCTGAGCGCCTGTCTGCAGCGCCCCCTGCTGTGTGGACGAAGGCACCTACGGCTTATTTAAATAAGTTGCTCGTTAACCTGAACTACCGAGCTGACGTTCTGACCTTCTGCTTCCCGTCCTGCAGCACGTGGACGTGGCGGCGCTTCTCATCAAGTACGACGCCTGCGTCAACGCCACCGACAAGTGGGCGTTCACGGCGCTGCACGAGGCCGCCCAGAAAGGCCGCACGCAGCTCTGCGCGCTCCTATTGGCTCACGGCGCCGACCCGGCTCTCAGGAACCAGGAAGGACAGTCACCATTGGACCTGGTCACGGTGCGTCTGATTTAAAGGGACAGTACACCATGAAGTGCTTCCGTGGGGGTCATTCCACCTCATCTGAAGCGAACAGAAACTTGTTTAAATCATAAACTCTGGATGTTTAAATTACATCTGAAATTCTGGATTACGGGATTCTGGATTAAACACTATTAGCTCTGTGAAGCTAAAATGCCACAGACGTCTTCATGAATGTCCATACTTTATGCTATGGATGACCGGTTCTTCCCAGAATGCTGACCCGATCCGATTCTCCTCCTCAGGCCGACGACGTTCGGGCTCTGCTCTCGGCGGCGATGCCTCCCTCAGCACTCGGTTTCCAACCTCAGGTCATCAGCGTGGCGGCGGCGGCGTCCTCTGTAGCTCCGCCCATCGTCCCTCCTCTCCTCTCCTCCTCCCCCTCCTCCTCCTCCTCATCATCCTCCTCATCCTCCTGCCCTGCTGCTCCTCTCCTCCTCCTCCCCTCTTCCTCTTCATCCTCCTCCTCCTCCTCCTCGGATCCTGATGCTGCAGCTTCGACTGACAGTAACGTCGCCGCAACCTCCTCGTCTTCGCCGCCGCCGCCTTCATCCTCTGTGTTTCCCGAGATGTCGGCCGCTGAGGGATCGCTGAGCGCTGAGAAGAAGGATGAAGGTCAGTGATGACGAGGAGCTCCTGGTTCATGTTTGCTCACAAGTTGCTCTTCGACCCACCGGTGGCTCCTTAAAGGCCTGTTAGCTTCAAAATCACCCAAAAAACACTTTCTGTGAGCCAGAAACTGTTAAATATGAACCTTCGCTCTGCAGCTTCTGTCTCGTGTTCCTTCTCTGAGGTTCATGTTCCATCATAAAGTCCTGCAGCTCTGAGGAACCAGAACCACATGAAGGAGGAGGAGAGAGAACTCAGTCTTCTGTCAGCAGGACTCAGTCAGAGTGGTGGAAATAATAAAAGACAGTTTAGTTTCTTAGACTACTGATTTCACAAAGGTTTTAAAAACAATATTCTATATTTAAGATAACTTTTAATAGATTTGTTTTGTTTATGTAATGACCAAGAAGGACTCAAGTAGAGTCCAAATGACTTCAAATGTGTCCAAAACGACACAAAACCCGTCCGACACCACGACAGATGACTTAAACTTGTCCGATTAATGCAAACAGTTTATTTTTGACAAATTGTTAAACGAGACACGTTGATTTAGGTGATTTTAAATAAATAAAACAGTTTCTAGCTTAGTTCACAGAACTACACAGAGGTGAAAATCTGAAGGTTTCTGTGGGCAGGAGTTGTTGTTTTACGTTGTGTCTGTTGGATGTCGGGTGAAGGAACGTGTTGTGTGTTCCAGGTTCTGAGCTCAGCATCTGTCAGTTCCTTCAGAACCTGGGGCTGGAGCACCTTCTGGAGATCTTCGACAGGGAGCAGGTGAGACACATGGAGGGATCTCCGTCTGTGAAGGTCCTGCCAACGGGTGACGGCTCATTTTTAATGATGCAAACCAATAAAAAATAAATGTATTTTTTTGGCTTTATTTTTTTTAGTTTCAGTTAAAACCCAGTTTCACACACGTCTCGGTCCGCTGCAGACACGGAGCTGTGACGGCAACGTAGAGTTAAAGATGCTTTCTGAGTAATGTGAACCCTGCAGGCCACAGCGTGGACCGGCTGACTGTGTTGTTAACTTACTGCAGAACAAAACCAACAAAATCTGCTTTAAAGTCAGACAAAGTACATCCAGAACCGTCCTCAGAATCCTCATCTGGTGAAACATGTCTGATATACAGTGTAGCTGCTCTTAATGGCACCGGTTGGACTGAACTCCACCACGTCCAGGCTCCCCGACGCCTTTCGTCTGTCTTCTGTCGTCTTATTGGCTCCCACCACTAACATGTCTTCAGATTTTTCTCACAAAAACAGCTGAATTGTACCCCGAGCTGAGCAGGTAGAACCCAGAGAGTCGCTTTAGAATCAGAGACGGAGAGGCGACAGGAACAGCAGGAGCCGCTTTCATCTGTAATTATTTCTTTAGACGAGGTGGAAGTGACTCAGAGACACTTCAGACTGAATTCTAATAACGAACCAGGTAACGTTTAACCACCTCCTCCCACTGGAGACATGGATCCTGATGAATAAATGTGTTTTTATGAAACAGCAGCGTGAGCGACAGAAACGAGCTGCGTCCCAGAAACACTTCTTCTTCCTTTAGTGGATGTTGTTGTGGACAAGCTGTGATTGTGTAGCGCAGCACAGCGTTGTCAGAGTTCAGCTGGACACGTCTGCTGATCAGGAACAGGAGCAGCTGGTGTCTGACTGCGTTGTGGAGATGTTGTGGAATAGTTTCTAAATTGGTTTCGGAGTTGGTTCTGAACTGGTTTCTAATTTGGTTTGTTTTCGAACCTGGTTTTGGGAATGTTTTGGGCCGTTTTCTAACTGGGTCTTAGAGTTGGTTCTGAACTGGTATTGACTGGTTTTGGGCTCATTGTTTAACTTGAGGGCTGCAGGTGTCTCTGTGGTTAGCATCGTTAGCACCATTAGCGCCTCACAGCTAGAGCTAGAAGGTCGGTGGTTGGCGTCCCGGTGAGGACACCCGGGATCTTCCTGCGTGGAGTCTCCATGTTCTCCCCGTGCAGCGTGGGTTCTCTCCGGGTTCTCCGGCTTCCTCCCACAGTCCAGAAACATGCTGAGGTTAATTGGTGATTGTAAATTGTCCGTAGGTGTGAATGTGAGTGTGCTTGGTTGTCTGTCTCTAAGTGTAGCCCTGTGATAGACTGGTTACCTGTCCAGGTGAACCTGCCTTCACCCTGAGTCAGCTGGGATAGGCTCCGCCCCCCATGACCCTGGTGAGGATGAAGGTGTAGAGATGATGGATGTTTGACTTGGTTTTGGAGTGATTTTAGGTCTGGGTTCTGACTGGGTTCTGACTGGGTTCTGAGTGAGTCTGTCACTGGTTTGTGGACTTAGCTTTAGAAGTGTTTTGGTTCCTTGTATGTGAAAACCTAGTTAATAAACCTACATTTCTGATACTGTGTGTGTGTGTGTGTGTGTGTGTGTGTGTGTGTGTAGATCACTCTCGATGTTCTGGTGGAGATGGGTCACCGCGAGCTGAAGGAAATCGGCATCAACGCGTACGGACATCGACACAAAATCATCAAAGGAGTGGAGAGACTGATCAGTGGACCTCAGAGTGAGGACGCACCATCACAACATTATATATATATATATGATATAAATAGTTATATCTAGTTATTTATGATATGTATTTGTGTGTGTGTGTGTGTGTGAACCCGTACCTGACCCATAACACATATTAAATGTGTTTATATATTTGTAATGTTGGTGATCCTGACTGACCTGATTTAATGTCATGAAGCGGTTTGATGTGTTTGATGCGGTGGACGTGAACTCCTGGTTCCAGCTGACTGTGTGTATTTATTCTATTTGTTCTCTATGTGCAGGTGTGAACCCGTACCTGACCCTGAACACGGCCAACAGTGGGACCATCCTGATCGACCTGTCAGCTGATGATAAAGAGTTCCAGTCGGTGGAGGAGGAGGTGCTGGTCCCTGTTCTAATCAGACTGATCATCACTGACTGGTTCTCCACTGGTTTCTGAACTGGCTTGTAACTTGTTCTTGGATTTGAAAGTGTTTCTGAACCGTTTCTCTCTCGGGTTCTGACTTGCTCTTGGACCAGTTTCTATCGTGGGTTTGTTCTTGACTTTTAGCGGGTTTCTGTTTTGTTTTAAGAGTGGTTTGGGTTTTCTTTAGACTGGTTTCTCTCTTGGTTCTGGACTGTTTCTATCCAAGGGTTGGGACTTCATTTTGGACTGGTTTTAGAACTGGGTTGAACTACCTTGGACTAATTGTTGGTTTTTGCTGTTGAACCTGGCTCTGGGTTGGTCACACGTTGGACTGGTCTTGGACTAGTTCCAAACTTGCTTGGGAGCTGGTTTTTAGTTTTGGAAACGTTTTGGACGGGTTCATAACTTGGTTTTAACCACAGCTGTACTGGGTCAGACCATCTGTTACAGAACTGGACTAGTTTTAGTGTTTTGATGGGGCTGGTTTCTACCTCTGGACTGCTTTCTGACTGCTCTCAGTGGTTTTGTTTGCTGACTTGAGGACTCCCTGCTGTCCTTGTGACTAAGCATATCAGTTATATGTAGAAGTTTAGCCTTTAACAAAGTAAGACGTTCATATTCAACGCTGTTTGTGTCGATCAGATGCAGAGTACGATCAGAGAGCACCGAGACGGCGGCCACGCTGGAGGAATCTTCAACAGATACAGCCTGGTCAAGGTAACACGCTGTTGTTCAGACTTTACTGAGATCTGCACGGACTCCTCGCTCATCGTGTTTGGGTTTCAGATCCAGAAGGTCTGCAACAAGAAGCTGTGGGAGCGATACAGCCACCGCAGGAAGGAGGTGTCCGAGGAAAACCACAACCACTCCAACGAACGCATGCTCTTCCACGGTCAGAATGCTCAGCAGTACACTGCACAAGCACTACAAGGTGTATGAGTCAACAAATGAGCTGCAGGCGGACGCTAGCGCTACATGCAGCAGCAGTGATGGGTCAGGGCTAGCAGGAGTAAACGTAGCAGCAGTAGTACTATGTAGTAGTCGTAGAATCACATTGTGATCATAGTAGAAGTACTAAAGACGCAGTAACTGCAGTAAAAATCAGACTTTATGGTTGTTTTGGGGGCGTTCCTAATTTGGATTTAAGCTGGTTTTGAGTAAAATTCAAGACAATGAGACTGGTTTTGGACTTGTTTGGGGACCAGGTTTTCCCTTGTTTCTAACTTTGGAACTTGTTTTGGACTCGCTGGGTTCATGTCTGGCTTTGGGCATGTTTCAGATTCGTGTGTAACTTAGTTTCACACCTGGTTTTGGACAGGTGGTGGACTTGGTTCTGGCCTAGTTTCAATCTGGTGCTGGACGTGTTTTAAACTAGTTTGGTTCTAAAGCAGGGATCTCCAACTCCGGTCCTCCTGAACTCAAACGAATGGATCTCCAACAGCTTGTTGTCAAGTTCTACACAAGTCTGTTACTGATCCATTCATGTGAGTACGGACACGTCTAGAACCTGCAGGACAGTCGCTCACGAGGACCGGAGCTGGAGATCCCTGCTCTGGAGCCTGTTTTGGATATCATAGGACCAGTTTGTGACGATACACATCATCACAACAACAGAAGTAGTAAAGCAGCACTATCTGTAGCAGCAGTGGAAGTTACAGTACTAAGAGTAGTATGAGTATTATTACTAGGAGTACTAGTAGTAGAACAGTAGTAGTAACAGCAGGAGTGACTGTCATGGAGGCAGTAGGATGGTACAGGTAGTAATATTAGCATCACATTATTCAGAGTGTTAGTGGTACTGTGTCCGTCCCAGGCTCTCCCTTCGTCAACGCCATCATCCATAAAGGCTTCGACGAGCGCCACGCCTACATCGGAGGGATGTTCGGCGCCGGGATTTACTTCGCTGAGAACTCATCGAAGAGCAACCAGTACGTTTACGGGATCGGAGGAGGGACGGGCTGCCCGCTGCACAAGGACCGGTCCTGCTACGTCTGCCACAGGTACGACACCTGGACTCCTCCCCCTGACTCCGCCCCCTCCCTGAACAACACCTGTATTCAGACACATCAGCTGTTAAAGGATGCAGACTTTTCTTTTTTACTTTAGGTACAAACTGCAGCTGCCTTCACAAAGCACGCAGTGTTTAATGCAGCATCACATGACAGGAAATAGTGTTTCATCACAACAACGTGTCGCAGTCGGTCGTGTTGGATGAGGTCTGTCGGAGCGCTCTCATTGGCTGAAGCCCGTTTACACTCATTCACAACACATGACGTCAGCGTGCAGAGGCTTGTAGGTTAGACACTGCATTTATCATGTTATATATTGGGATGTACTAGATCTTTTTCTCGTAGACTATACTGTAGCTGTAATAATAGTACGTTTAGTGTATTCACTGAAATGCAAACACATAAATGCCAGAAAACAGGACTCGAGTTGAAGCCTAGCTGGTGGTATTCTGTGTCCTGCTGCCTGTAAAAGTGTGTTTACATCTTTAAACTCAGGAGATGAAAGTGAATTCAATCCGGCAGTGACGTCTGATGAACCTTTCTGCAGGAGACAAGTCGTCTGAACACTCGCTCCGTGTTGTGTTTGTCCCTCCCAGGCACCTGCTGTTCTGCAGGGTGACTCTGGGAAAGTCCTTCCTGCAGTTCAGCGCCATGAAGATGGCCCATTCACCGCCGGGTCACCACTCGGTCACCGGCCGGCCCAGCGTCAACGGCCTCGCTCTGGCCGAGTACGTCATCTACAGAGGAGAGCAGGTCAGCTGGTTGCTCGTCAACGCCTACAGAACGTTAGCAGAGCTGTTGGTGGTCCGAGCTCAGAGGTGGAGGTGGTTTATAACCGATCAGCATCAACGCGTGCTGTCACAAAGGTGTCAGAAATCTGAATAAGTTTCTTGATTAATGAGAATTATCGACCACTAATAGATCAGTTTATAATTAGAACTGAACACACTTGACTTTGTCCGGTGCTGATTCTGCTGTTTTAAGTGTTAAAGGCAGCAGCTGGTCGGAGCTCATGAACCTCCTCAGAGTCTCTGTCATGGTCCTGTTGCTGCTAAACTCCCACAATGCTCTCTGCTGCCACCATGAGCTGCAGTCTGGAGACGCCTCCTCTGGTCTCTACAGGAGTAAACAGGAAGAGGCTCCACCTGGTGGAACAACCAGGTACTGCAGCTGGTCTGTGGTACTTGGAGTGTGTAATGTCCAGTAAAATACTATCTGCAGATACTAAAGATTAAATGACTTGGGATGGACCAGGGCCAAGAAAGCTAGCTGTTGGTATATGTATTTTAAAAATATTTATTGTACGATTAGTAGACATTAAAATAAGAAAAGATATATTTATTATAGTTGCACTAAAATATGTTTTGCTGTTTGAAATCCAACATATCGTCTCCTGGTTCAACTGAGATAAAAGATGGAAAAATGTGAGTTTATCCTGTGATTTGGTGTCAAAGACTCAGATTTTCCTCATAACATCCAGTACTGTGCATGAATAAGTAACAGAGTTCAACCCAAAGAAGCGACGCTGATCTGTTTCCTAAACGCTGTGTCCATGTGGTCTGGTCACATCTGAACCAGTTAGAACAGAAAAACCTTGACTGACGTTGTGTTGTGCACAAAACAATCCAAAATAAGAGCGGGACTCCTGATTGGTGCATTCAGATATTGATTAGTACAGTAAAAGATGTTAAAATCTAGCTGTTGTTATTGCACTCCGCGATTTGGATGACTCTTGTTTTGAGTTCCACACATTTCAAACCAATATTCAGCACTTAGAAAGTCACACGTGTGCAGCCGTCCAATCATCTGAACCTCCAGACCAGGCCAGCTGGATGGATGGATGGATGGATGCAGCTGTGGGTTCTGTGTGTTGGTGTTCCTGTGTCTCCTACGTAAACGTGGCTGCATCGGTGGAGAGCGCGGCACACAATAGAACATGTAATGTCTTCTGCTGGAACACAAGTGCCTCTCCACAGTCCGCCGCGAATAGATGTCCACTCGAGCAATCAGCGCTGCTCCGAGTGTGAAATTACAGGCGGAGGTCGAGCGCACAGCTGATGGCAGCGCTGAGGATGAGGAGGAGCGCTGAGGCAGAGCTGCTGTCCTCTGTCGGAGCAACACGTCTTCTGCCTCGCAGTCGTTTTCCTGCGATTCTTAACATGCGACTGTTTGGTCTCAGATTTACAGCAGACTGTTAGAGCTGATCTGAGTCTGTCCAGTGTCCAAAGACTGATGTTGTCATGTCTGGCTGTTCAGCATGAAGTGACAGGCAGCTACCAGTTAGCTTAGCTTAGCATAAAGGCTGCAAACAAGGGAGCATCGCCTCCAAAGATCACTGAGGAAAACATTCCCCATGTTGCTGCGCTGAGCTGCTGCTACGTCGTATGTCGGAGAACACAGCTACTGTCAGCACAGAACACCAGGTCCACAACCAGGTCTGGACCTCAGACACAAACTGGTCAAAACCAGGTCCAAAAACAAGACTGAAACCAAGTAAGCCAGTCCTCTGAAACATATCTGAAACTAAATCAGTAACCAAGTTAGAAACTAGTCCGACAGATGTCCATACCCAAATGTGGATCCGAGTTTTTTTTTTAAAAGGCTAAAACAGTCCAAACCAAGTTAAAAACTAGACTAAAACAGGTCCTAAACCAAATCCGTTTCCATTGTGTTGTGGAATCCAAAAGCTTCAAGACTTTATTGGACGTAGTTCTGGTTCCATGTGGGAAACGATCCCTGGAGGTTAGCTGTGTTAGCGTGGTGATGTGAGAAACATCTGCTTCTAGACGAGGACGTGGACACGGAAAATTACACTCATTGTCTTTTCTGAGTTGAACCAATCAAAGTCGTTCTTCAGGGTTTCTCAGGTGCACCTACTGTGAAAATGGCCCTGAAACAGGTTCTACAGGGAACACAGTCCAGGGTTCAGACCGTTTTAGGGTTCTTGCAGTGAAAACATTCTAACTATAGTGCTAACAGTTAATATTAGTAATATTCGCACTAAAAATGTCTTTTGCTAACAAATTACAGGCAAAATCTGTGCAATTGTTCATGTTTTTCTGAGGTTCTTGTACAGACGGAAACCAGTATTTTTACGACCTTTACACAAAGCCAGGCTAGCTGTTTCCCCCCGTTTCCACTGTTTGTGCTAAGCTAAGCTAACTTGTTTTCCACAATCACCAAAGTCACGAGCCAGATTTCACCTTCATCCATCCGGTGTTTGTTGAGTGACGTTTCTGAGATGACGGCCACGTCCAGTTTCCACTTGTCTTGAGATGTTACTGATGTCTTTAAGTGGAGCTGGAAGGTGTTTGTCTCTGGATTAATGAAGTTTTGTGTCGTACTTGTAATTCTAAATCTTGACGCCCAGATATTTGTGTTTGCTGCACGTCGGCTGGTGCCTGATGTCGACTGCTCTCCAGGACAACGTAAAGCTCAGGTTGTTGGTTTGCTGTTGCCGCCCACAGGCCTATCCGGAGTACCTGATCACCTACCAGATCACGAAGCCCGACGCCTCTGCAGACGGATGAGGAGGAAGAGGACGAAGAAAACACGAAGACTTGCTTCATTAACTGCATGCAAACAGAAAAAAAAACTTTATTTATACAATGTATAAGACATGTGGGTTTTTATCAGGTGCCTGTTTTTTGCTATTCTTTTCTATCGTTTGTTTTATGCACTTTATTACCGTGACGTGATGTGACTGTTGATTTCGTCCTTTTGTCACTAAACCAGTGTCGTCCAGTGATTTCGGGGCAGAAAGGACGAGTCGGTTCGAGAACGTCGGCGGCTTCATTTCAAACAAATCGTACAACTGTGACACCGCCAACAACAACGTGTGATTTTTTAGAAAAACTCAAGCGACGTAAAAACGACTAAAAATCCGCTCCGATGTTGCCGGAAACCTCTCGTCCTTTCTGAGCAGCCAGCGGTGGCGCTCTCCCATTGTTGCCTGGCAACGTCCTAACGAGGTGTTCGTTTGACTTTACGGAGACGTTGTGCGTACGTTTATTTTTTGTACAAGCATGTCGATTTATTAACATTTATAAAGTGAAAAGTACGTCGTCGTCATCGTCGGGGTTTGAGGCGGTCTGAGGAGGCTCCGCCCACTTTGGTTCCAAGTGTGTTAAATCATTAAACGTGGTTTCACCTCCACGCTGCTCCCAGCCCGGCTCCAGACCTCCCGACCTCTAAACCTCTGCTCTGTTCTCATATTAGTATTATTATTATTGCTTATAGGCTGATTCAGCCCTGCAAGGTTTGTGGAGCTGTAGATTGTTTTTATGTTGTTTTACAATTTGTCATTTTACGCTGTGTCAGCATAAAGTATTTTTGTTTGTTTGGTTTTTTACTTAATTTAAACCACTAAGAAACCTCCAGATTGTACAGATATGTGCTGTTGTTGTCACAGTTTTTGAACTTGTACAGCGTGTTTGAAGTGGCACTGTTCAGATGTTTACTGTTTTGTTTTTTTTACAGAATTTCTTTATACTGTGTACGTGTATCTGCAAATCTCTGAACACAGACCAAGGTTTGTCTTTCTGGAGGTCTGGAACCAGGTTAGCTCAAACAGAGACTCCGGTGTCGCTGCCCTCTGAGCAGAGCTTTGCTGATACCGTCTGGGATCTCGCTTCCTGCTAAACACTTAAAAACACTGTTGGGCTATTAAACTAACGGCCTCACGCCTCAGCCTGCAGCACGCTAGCTAACCTGCCTCCGTCGCTGCTCCGATCAGACTGAAGCAAACCTTGAATGTCCCGTCTGTGAATCTGACTGTTCTGCTGTCGTGACTCCTTCTGTCGTCTGTGACGTGACGCTAACGGGAGCTAATGCTAGCATGGCTGACCGACCGGCTGGTTTCAGTGGGAGGAAACCAGTGGCTCAGTGTGACGGGTTCCATTATAAAACGGGACGTAAACATCCCACCGAGCCTGCAGACCGACTGACGGAACAACGTGGTGCTATTTTCAGGAATCTGTGGCATTTTGGAAACGAGCTCCTCGCTGAAAAACATGAACTTTATAAAATCTGTCAACATGGAAAAAAACTCCAGCACTTGGTGGTTTGTAGAGACGACTATTTGATGTGTCTGTTGCACCTGTTTCAGATAAATGCCTCCCAGATGAAAATGCTTGCTGTCCTGTTATGATTCTGCTCGGCTGAAACTCACCGACGGTTTATGTTCATGTGCAGCTAAACGACTCAAAATACAGATTAATTAGCTTTTTACGTGACGAAGTTCTCAGTGTTCAAAAATGGATTCAAAAAATACGTTTTGCCCAAAAGGAAGGATTTCTACAACCGTGATTTGAAGTTCTGCCTCAGTTAAAAATGACGCTGATATGTAGTTCAAATGATATGCATCGACTGCTTTATCGCCATGAACATTTTGATAGTAAATGCTTTCAACCTTTAGAGAAGATTAAAAGCCTTTAAATGTTCTCCCACAACAAGATATATTCCATAAATACAAGGCAACCGGAGCTTTTCAGTTGTAGTCATTCTGAGCTGAACATTAGATTCGGCTGCTGGTGAAGTTCAGCTGTGCACAAAAATAAATGGTGGAAAACGTAGCCGCAGTGGGAAAGTAGGTGATTTGCGAGATAAAAATAGGTGCAGTTTGATTGGTTCAGATGTGTGAAACCACTTCTCTTTGGTCGGCGGCATCTGGATGGAATTCTATTCTGTACAGCGGCAGAAAGAACAAACGAATTCTTAAAGATGTTGTTCGTCCGTTCATTTGTTTGAATGGTTGCGTTACAGCTGGTAAATCACAGGGGAGGCCATGAGGTATTTACAGAATATACAACTCACTATCCCCGGAGTTACCACATAAGGGCGCTCTTTGAGTTTAGCAATGTCTGAATGTTCAAGCGGTTGTACTAGTCCACTTCCTGGACACCAACAAACACAATTAACCCACTAAGGTGACCCCCACCACCAAGTTAAACCACAAGTGTCGATGGAGGTCAGCGCAAATATACCGACAATAAAATAATCTACAGTTAGACATCGGCTATTGGAGGAGCTTGATGTTCTCCGCTGCAGGAACTTGGGACCCATTTTAGGGCGGTCCAAATCTTTGTGTTACAGCCTTAACAAAATCTGTACAACATTTTTTCAGGGAAGAACAACAGTACCCACAAAAGACTAATTGGTTTTGTTGGTACTTTGGAGGCGACTGGCAAACTTTTACAGGATCGATCCCCTGGTCAGTCCAAGAGCAGCAAACTGAGCAAGCAGTTGCTCTACATTAAATACAGATTGACTGCATTGGATTCTACAGCAGAAGACATTTTATGGTCTGTTGTATCCATTAGCCAGCTGCAGATAGTAAACAACATGTAGCTAGCTCGTATTTAGCTGATGACAAGCTGCTAGCTGGTGTTTGCAGACTGCTACGTGATTCACGGTCATATGGGCTTTACATACTGACTTCTAATTTCATTTCGCTTCTGAATGCAGCCAGCTACAGTACTCCATGAAAGTTTACTGAAAAGCAGTTTGATTCAGAAAACACTATGTCCATCACTGGTTAGCTAAAGCCACATGCTACAAGCTTGAAACAACTACAGATGGTTTAAACGTGGCGTCGCAACAGCACATGTAGTCAAACTGCCCCTCTGGGGTCTCGGTCGAAACCAAGTTGTGAGGAACAGTTAAGGTGCAGTCAGAGGGCATTTTAATCATCAGGTACACAGGAGCCGTACAATAAAGCACACAAGTCAGTTTTCATGGTTAGATTTAATAGTTTAACCTTCAGACATGCAAATTTTTCATAGCAGGCTGAAGTTTAACCACCGAAATCACCCTGCAAGACAAGACAGGTTAGTGAGGAGGGAACACACAGCAGCAAGTCCAACAGGTCAGTCTGGACTGATTTGTACCTCAGTAGGCCTTTGTTCCTGGAGAACCAGTCACTGGAGGCTTGCCTGTCGGTTGGGCAACAGAGGGCAAAGGAAAGTGGTCAAAGATATCCGGCGAGAATTTAGAGTGGGACAAGAGTTCTCTGGCTCGCTGGTAGCCGTTAGTGGACTGGACGATGTAGGACGAAGGCACCACAGGGGGACCCTCGATCATGCCCAGCGGCACCTCGTCGGTGTTCCAGGCATTGACGTCCGGGAGCAGACGAGGTGGAACCAAATGTTTAAGGAAGAACGAAGGAGGAAGTCCTCCTTTAGGCAGCTCGTCCCAAGGAAGGCCTCGAACAAATGGGAATCCGAACGGATCAGCCCCATCTCCCGAGCTGGGAGCAGCAGCACCACCGCTGGAGGAAGCAGATCCAGCACCTGAGTTCCCAGAGTATGCAACTCCAGGGGAGAATGAACCTTCGTAGCCAGGGCCGGATCCTCCCACAGCTGAACCTCCAGCGCTGCTTGAACCAGACTGCTGCTGTTCAGGAATGTCTGGAGTCTTCTTGTCAGGAAGGTCAAGGTACCAGGGACTGAAGGAACGACCTGCTGGGGCATCGGAGGAGTCGGAGCCAGAATCATAAGTCATGGTCAAATCTGGCTCATAGTCTGATGAGAACCCTGCAGCTGAACTAGGAGCTCCCAGGCTTTGTGGGGACTGGTTTCCAGTCTGGGAGCCCGTCTGCTGGCCGGCAGCTTCATGTTGCAGGGACACCGTAGGAGAGCGCAGGTTTGGTGAGGCAAGGGCTGCCGATTCAGGTCCGATAAGGAAGGGGAAGGGGTCGCCTGGCCGAGACAGAGTGTAGAGTTAGAGTAGCAAGGAGTTATCAGGGACAAGGTTTGTGCACCACACTGAACCCCCAAATGACCATGTATGGGAACCAGAAACTGCACAAGTTGCTGAATTTCACTTTTCCATGAAGTCCTTGAACTACTCATCCATGACACGCTGCTGTTAATCTCAGCTTAATACATTTCAAAGTCACTGCTGTAGGTCTCTTAAACAAAAACACAAATTTGCACCAGTAAGACAGATTTTGCACAACAGAGAGGCCAGCAGTGACTGAAATGTGACAAATTCTGGGGTTGTTTTTTCCCAGCTGTACTGCAGGCAGTGTTTACAGCAGGAGACAAGAATACATTAAATCTACACTATTAAATATCTTTAGCCCGTAGAACCATCATTGGTCTGTTAGTGTTGGGAACACAACATTTCAAGGTCCGAAACATGCTGATTCCAGTTTTTCCTTGAAATGTTTATAAAATTAAAAGTTTAGTTTTTACGTTGCTTATTTATGGTAGTATGACTGTGCCACAGTACAAACACCTGAGTTTTCTCCTCCTTCATGTTGTTCTGGTTCCACAGAGCTGCAGGACTTTATGTTGCAGAGAAACACGAAGGAAAAATGTGATCACAAATAAGCACCTTAAGGCTATTTGGGACTCAGAGGGTTAAACAAGCATTTCGGGGTGCAGAGAATCAGAGGAAATTGCTTTTGAGAAGTTTTCTAGCATGACTGATGCTTTTCTTTGATTAAATCCAACACAAACAGGAGATAGAAACACTGAAGCAGCAGTCTGCTCGACAAAGATGTCAGAGATCGTAACTTACTTGGTGATTCAACAGGAAAACTAGCACCGATGCTAAATAAAAGCAGGCAGATCCAAGAAACGCTGTAAGACAGTTCAACAAAGTTAAGTCTCCAAACTTTCAGCTCGGCATCGTCGAAACTGACAACCAACGGGGTGAACTGACCTTAAAGCGAGCGCCATGTTTGACTCAGGACGGCGATTTCAGCTTCAGCAGCTTTGTGACGGCTGATTGTAGAAGCTGCTCTGATAAAGCTGCTCTGCGCTAATCAGACTCATTACAGACAGCTGGAGTCCAATCAGGCGCCGCAGAGGAAACAAACCGAGGAGCACGAATCCAGACTGAAGCTGAGTTTCTGCCAAAAGAGCAAATTAGACATGAATATATGAACATGAGCTGCTTTTGTTGTTTGTTTCATCCTCTGCTGCTGTGTGAAAGACTTCCTGGTTGGTTTCTGTTCAGTTGAGCTAAATGTCGAGGTTTCTTTCAGACAGACTCGAACACTGCTCAGTTTGCAAATGTGGATTTTTTTCTGGACGTTTCTGTGCTTAAACCTCATCTAACCAATGTTTTAATAAACAGAAACCACCTTAAATAGGGACTGAACGTCGCTCTATGATTTTTACTGCTGTGTCTAGTGTTACATACTTCCTGTATGTTACTGTAAATAGTCCACAGACAGTTTTTATCAGCTCCACAACATGTAGGATATGGGATGTAGTCGACTGCAGAGTCACAGCGATGTCCTATTTTATCACAAACCATCTGCCAGTTGGAGGTATGGCAAGAAAATATTGTGTATAAATGTGTTTTTGAGAGTTCAGCAGTTGTAGAGGAGTCTGAAACGTATGCATTTGTCTCATGAGGCAGATGTGCAAACACTGGTTTTGTCTTTTTACCACTGAGGGGACGTTCCTGCACAAACTGAAAATGCTCATAAAAACAGACAAAGGACTGTTTTATTCCTTCAGTACGCAGAGAGCAGAAAATGCAGAATGAACAAAGACCGTTATGAACGGTGACGAGAAAAATAAGAAGGTCTGTGTGATGATTAATTTACAGCTTTTTTTGTAAAATTAGACCGTTTTAGTGCTGCTTGAACCTTTGTGCATGTTCTGACCACAAGAACCTCTTTCAAAAGAAGAAAACGACTATTTCAGGGTAGAAAGAAAAATAAAACAAATCTTGAAGAAATAAGTCAAACCCAGTTTCTACACTTGAGCCACGCAGCAAAGGTACCAGAATAAATATCTAAAACACGATGGAATACTGTTGTCCTCCAGAAGTCTAAAGACAGTGAGAATGATGACAAACACTTGTTAAATAATGGTAGTTTTTGCAGATTTACACACAGTGGTTGTATATTGTAAAAGAACAATTTAATATTTGTAAAAAAATACATTTTTGTTGTGGACGTCAGTTTTAAGTTATTCAATGTTAAGATGTACGTTTATGCTTCAGCTAAGGTTTGTCTAATGAGGAATTTAACAAAAGGGGAAAATCTGTGAATTCTTTGAAAAATTACAGTTAAAACCTTTTTTTTTTTTTGCAGCGTACATTTGAGCAGAACAACTGCTGTGTGGATCTCGATGCCGATTCGTTAAATTTGGAGACAACGTATCTGTCGTCCTTTCTCATCCAACAACAGCAGCAGCAGCAATCTTTTCCTCTCTAACGTCACCACAAACAACGTAAAACTCACCACAAGGCAGGAACTCAAATCTTTTACAGGCTCCTAATTGGTCTTTTCCACCTGTTTCTATTGCAGGATCCAGCATCTTTAACTGTGACGTGAACATGAAGAGACCAAATCAGTTCCAGGACTGACTCCAGTTCTGTGCAGGAAACAGAACAAGGGAGGTCAATGTGAGTCTGTGTGGTGAATAAAACAAAACTTGTCATCTGGGAGGTTATCCAGTCAGCTTCGAGTGCAGTCCGTTATCCACAACGGAAAAATCCTCAAGATGCACTGTCTGGATAATCTTTGTTGATCTATGGCTGAAAACGCAGCAAAAAAAAAAACAGTAGAAGAAGAAATTGCAGGAAAATTCCTGTGAAAAACACCATCAGACCAACCCTGACGTGGAACCCTCGAGGTAAGACAAGAAGAGGATCTACAAACATCATCATGAGGTTTAGCTGTACCTGGAAGGGAAAGCTCAAGGTCTCTGGAGCTCCCTTGTCAACAGCCAGGAGGGATGTCAGGGCATAAGACTCTACCAGGACTCCACCGAAGCACAGACCCTCGTCAACATTGGAAAGATCCTCAAGATTAACTGGCCAGATAAGATCAAGAACCAGACATTTATGCTTGAAAGGGCAGCAATTACCAGCACAGGGAGAAATAGGAAGAAGGTACTTTACGAACATCAGACGATCCCTGACGTGGAACCCTTTACGTAAGATATGAACGGGTCGGCACAAGGACACCCGATGAAAGGATCTACATCATACAGTTTGGGTACACCTGGACCCAACTGGAAGGTCAAGACCAGGTTCTCTAGAGTTCCTCTGTAAACAGCCCAAACCCCAGGAGGGGTGTCAGGGCACAAGACTCAGAGGAACCTGGAGTAGGACCTTTTTCCATCCTGTAAATGGCACTGAAGAGGTTCTACGAGGACGGTTCCTGCAGTCAGAATGGTTGGGATTCCCTAAAAGGTCCTGCACTGGAAATGACCTGCGGACTACGATAAACCTGCATTGTTCCATTTTCTAGTTTCATCCAGTAACTATTTGTTTTGGTCACTCCAACTTGTTGGATGTACTCCTGCAGTAGACTCATATTTGGGTTCTTGGTGCCAAATGTGGCGACACTGATAGAATCAAGCTTCCTCACAAGGAGCAGCATGTCTAGAACGTTTCTGAATCAGTTCATTGCAGAGTGGAGGCCTCCATCTGTTCAGCGTCACTCCAATGTCAGTATGTTCTCATTTGTGTAGATTCTGTCATGGGGATCCCTGGAACTTCATCAGGAAGCAATCTTTTAGGTTCTTGAACACTTCCAAACAGAAGCTTTTTAGATGAAGGTGAAATGTCTTGAAGACCCTACAAGAAATCCAGTTGCTTTTTGCTGAAGCAAAAATTTTTGAGCATCACTTTGTTTCCCCTGAATTGATGCAGTTCACTCCTGCTTTCAGGACAAAAACAGTTCCAGAGTGAAGCTTGGCAACGCCCTGGTGGCACCAGAACTGGGAAAGTGACCAAGAGCTGCCAGATCAGTTTACTACATAAAACATTCTGTTGTGGCCAATACTCGTTTAGATCTGGTCTGTAATAGACCGAGTCTGCCAATCTGTAAAACCTGAGTCATCTGTTTTCTCCACTGCATTGATTCCTCAGACTGAGAAGACTGTTTCACACTTGATAGTTAACTTCCATTGAGTCTCCAGGGAGCAGTAATGTTGCTTAAAGACAGTTCCAGTGTCATTATTGGAGGTGGGTAAAGACCACGTAGCAGCAAAGACACGCTTCAACCTTTTCCTTTAAGGTTCAAACCTTTGAGGTACGCTGCGTTGGTTCTCAGGGTTTCCGTTTCATGCTGGAAAACTAAAGCAGCCAGTTTTCTTTGAAAGCTGGTCAGCTGCATTACTGAAATGATGTTGTGTAAAGAGTTTAAATCAACAAGTTCAACCTCAAAGCCTTCAGGGCAGTTAGAGTCAGACACAGAACTCAGAGTCATGGTTTAAAGTTTATTCAATGTAAGTTGTTGGTTCTTGGAGGTTCTGCTGATCAGCTTCACCTGCAGAGACAAACAAACACGTCAGTCACTGAACCAGCAGGTTCTTCTACACGTCATGTTGCAGCTGCTTCTCACCTCCTTAGACCTTCTTCCCTCCAGGTCCTACTGTTGGAACTGCTGGGTCCACCGGCGGGTAGAACGGGCCAAAGTCATCCGGGTCGTATTTGGAGTGGGAGAGGACTTCATTGGCTCGCTGGTAGCCGTTGCTGGACTGGACCAGGTAGGACGTAGGACCCCGGACGGGGGCGGGAAACGGGCCCACTGCAACCTGGTCGGGGAGCCAGGCTGAGGGGTCTGGGAGCCGGAAATATGGGTTTGGGCTCAAGTCCCTCAGAGAGTAGTAGAACCCCTTTGGAAACCCAAGCCAAGGAGCGTATTCTGCACTACCGAAGGGATAAGAACCACTGTAGAAACCAGCGCCGCCGCCGACACCTCCAAAGCCACCAGATCCAGATCCTCCAAAGCCACTAGACCCTCCAAAGCCACCAGACCCAGATCCTCCAAAGCCACCAGATCCTCCAGAGCCACCAGACCCAGATCCTCCAGAGCCGCCAGATCCTCCAGAGCCTCCTCCAGAACCTGTTTGACCTGAACCCAGACACAAAGCAAACTCGTGAGAGCTGCAGCAGCTCCAGTTGAAGTCACATTATGAACAGAACCATGTTGGTGTGGGTCAATAAGACAGAACCAGCAGCAGATTAAACCTCTCAGAGCTGAAACACTGAGCTCAGTCCTGCAGGAGAACCAGAGCCAAACCAGGACTCTGGACTGCTGCCAGGCTCATGTAGCATCAGCAGCTCAGCAGGAATCCAGGTGGAGCTGCTGCAGCCGCCTTCACACACACTGAGCATCATCTGAAGCTGCTGCAGGTGAACACATGCCCACAGACTCACCTTTAATTACAAAAGGGTAGCCAGCTCCAGAGCCCAGGAGCAGGAGGCAGATCCAGGAAACCCTGTGGAGAGCAGAGAGCAGCCGGTAAGTACGAGCACATGGAAGCCGAGCTGAAGCGTGAAGCGGCGCAGCTCACCTGAGAACAGATTCCAGCAGCATGTCGAGTCGTGAGAAGAAGCCAAGGCCACAGAGGTCAGCTCCAGCAGGTTGATCAGCAGTGAGGAGGCTGCTGCAGACAGAAGCTGTGGTCTGGAGCTGCAGCTGCTCTGCTTTTAAACCAGAGCTGCACCTCCAGCAGCTCATCACACTCATTCAGCTCACCTGGTGAGGCAGGTGAGGCCGTGCTGCGTTCAGGTGGCCTCCGACATTCAGCGCAGAGCAGACAGATGGAGCTCTGCTGACATGTTCTTCTCTTCTCGTTATATCTTGTATGTTTGTGGATATGAATGACGTCTTGTTTACATACAGACAGGAGAGAAATTAAAGGAAAAACGTGAATGCATGAGTTGGGAAACAGATTCATCCACACTCATAAATTACTGTAAAATACGGACAAATACTCAGAGCAGTGCATCGTTTTTCCAAAATGAATGCAGGATTTTTTGGAGCCACGTGCAGCAGCTGATCTTCTCATGGATCATTCATGAGATCAACCAGAGCGACAACATCATCCTCAGAGATTAGACCTCCAGCTGTGACTCTGGTTTCCCAGTTTGTGAGCTGACCTGACGCGAACTCCACTGAGTGCACAAGAGACTATTTCCAGGTTGTGCGTCTTCAGCAGCAGGACGTTTGAATGTTTTATCAACATTATTTCCTTATGACTGCTGAAAACCTGCTTTAGGTCCAGTTTAAACATTTTCCCTTGAATCCTTCTCAGTAGACTGCACACAGGCCTCACTGCAGTCGGCTAAGGTCAGATCCACCGAATGTCAGACAGATTTCAGCTCCCCGTAGAGTTTGCTCCATTAGTTGTGCCATTTTGTTTTTCTTTTTCTGTAAAAAACTTCTGATTGTGTTTTGTTATTTGCAGTCTTGTATGTGAGTAGAAACCCACTTCACCCTGAACCTGGACTTTACAAATGGTCAAGTGTTTTTTGTGTGTTGTACAACATGCAGCCGCTCGTCTTTAGTTTGCCGTTGATCAGCCCACATGGGCTCTTCAAGATGGATGCCGATGCTGATTATTGGTCATCAAGAAGGACAAATAACTGATAATTTGAACAGATATACTGTAAATGTTTACTTTCACAGCCTTCAGTAGCAGAACCTGTCAGTCAGAACTGGGCTTGCAGCTCCTAGCAACAGGAGTGATGACGTCGGAACAT